TGTGCTTGAATGTCCAAATTTCAAAAAACCTTTCTTTTTGCATTGTGATGCTAGTTCTGTTGGTATTGGTAGTGTTCTGAGTCAAGAAGATGATAACGGTGATCAACATCCTATTGCTTTTTATTCTAGATCTCTTAATAAGTGTGAACGTAATTATAGTGTGACTGAGAGAGAACTTTTGGCAATTTTAGATTCTATTGAACATTTTAGGCCGTATATTGAAGGAATGAAGTTTACCGTAGTAACGCATCATGCTAGTTTAAAATGGCTTTTAAATTTAAATAATCCTTCTGGTCGCTTGGCTAGATGGGCTGCTAGAATTTCACAATTTACATTTGATATAATTCATAAAAAAGGTTCTTTGCATGTAGTTCCTGATACTCTTTCTCGTTATGATATAGCTGCGTTGACAGTAAATTCAAATCAAATTGTTTCGCCTAACGATGACATCGTAGATCCTTGGTATAGAAAGATTTTTGTCAATTGTCAAAAATTCCCTTCTAGATATAAAAATTTTAGAGTAGAAAATGATACTTTGTATAGATTTTGTAAATCAAAATATAGCGTTAATAATAATTTAGATTGGAAAATTGTTGTTCCAAAAGAACATATTTTAGATTCTATTAGAAATAATCATGATGATTTAAATTCGAGTCATTTGGGAATTCATAAAACTTTGCATAAAATAAAACTACATTACTTTTGGAAAGGTATGTTTAATGATGTTCATAAATATATTAATAATTGCGATATTTGTAAAGCTTATAAGCATTCGACTTCTAAACCACTTGGAACTATGATTAATCCTAAAAAAGTAGATAGACCTATGGTAATGTTAAGTATGGATTTAATTGGAATTTTACCCAAAACTTATTCTGGTCATAAATTTATATTATCTGTAGTAGATGTTTTTACAAAATATTGTTGGTTATTTCCTTTGGCTAATGCAACGACTAGATCAATGTGTAAGTTCTTAGAAAAAGATATCTTCCTTAAGTTCGGATGTCCAAAAATAGTTGTATGTGATAACGGTACTCAGTTCACTTCTAGAAATTTTGTAGATTTTCTTAAAGGTTTTAATATTGATAGAATATTTTATAATACTTTATATACGCCTCAGAATAATCCAGTGGAGCGTTATAATAAAACGGTTGAAACTTGCATTTCTTGCTTCGTTCGTGATGATCATAGAACTTGGTCGAAATTTCTTCCACATGTTCAGTTAGCTTTGAATAGTAGTGTTAATTTGGCTACGGAGTTCACTGCGAATTTCCTAATGTTTGGTAGGGAGTTAATTGTTGATGCGTCATTGCACCGTTTTAGTAATTCCTTTGATAATTTAACACAGATCGATCTTGTTGACCGTTCTGCTTTTGCTCATTCACTTTCTTCACTTGAAAGTATTTTTGTTAAAGTTACTGGAACTTTATTTAAAGCATATAAACGTAATGCTTCTTATTATAACAAGCGTCGTGAAGTCACTTCTTATGATGTAGGTGATATTGTTTGGAGGAGAAATTTTGTTCAATCTAGTGCTGCTCATTATTTTTCGGCAAAACTAGCTCCGAAGTTTATTAAATGTAAGATTATTGATAAAATTTCTAATAATGTTTATGTTCTAAAGGATTTAGTAAAAGGTACTTCTGGTCGTTACCATGTTAAAGACATTTTGAAAATTTAGATTGCTTAGCTATTGTTTAGTTAGTTTTGTTAAACATAAACAAACCTTTGGGTTTTAGGCTTTTGTAACTTGAGTGATCTGGAGGCTTTGAAAGGTTTGATTTTTTGCGTGAAGTATGTAAGGTTGGCCTCATGTGAGACGATGAAAGATAGTGAAGTTACTCAATTACATTTGACTTTACTCATTGACTTTTTGGTTTTTATTAAATTCAAGTTTTGCCATTATATTATTTGACTTTGAAAATTTTTTGTAAAATTTAAATTTACGTAGTATGCCTACTTGTTTTCTGCATCATAAGATTTTATAACCTTTTGTTTCATGCAGATGTTTTATCTGTATGGACACATTTTTTATTAGGATTTTATATGTCCTTATTTGTTATTTTTGTACAAACTTATTTGTTAGTACTATAGTTGTGTGGTGTTTCTGCATGTTTGTTGTTTTATAACAATTTGTTTTGTGTAGAAGTTTGTGTGTGTGATAATTGTTACACCCGGATTTGACATTTTGGGATCCCCACATTTTTCCTTGGATTTGACATCCATGATTTAGACTTTTTTCGTTCAATATTTTTGACGATTTGTTTGGTTTACCACTTTGTTTTGGTAATTTGTTTGCCCATATTTGTGGACATCAATTATTTGTTTTTGCACATCATGTTCGGAAGTTCGGTGGTGTTGTGCCGATCATGAAGTTGCAATTTCGACTTTTTGTTCAACATTGTTGACGCTTTTTGGTTTTGCCATATTGTTTTGGTATTTTGTTTGCCCATATTTATGGACATCAATTGTTTGTTTTTGTGCTTCATGCTCGGGAGTTCGGTGGAGTTGTGCCGATCATGTAGTTACAACTTTTGTTTTGGGTGCTTCATGTCCGGAAAGTCGTTGGTGTTGAGTCGGCCATGAATGTCACGTTTTGGTTTTCGCCAAATTTTTTGCTGTTTTGACTTTCGTCACTACATTTTTTTGTCGAACTGTTTGTTCTCGACGCCTTTTGCACATCATGTTCGGAAAGCCGGTGGTGTTGTGCCGACCATGATTGTGACTTAAATGAGTTTGTGTCAATTTTGCCACTCATCTCGAACTTTTTTGGGGATTTAACTAATAGTACTTGCGACTTTTTAGTATGGCAGTACTGGGGTGGGATTTTTCTAGAGTCTGCGACATAGTTGTCTAACAGATCTCCCAAGAGTTGGTAGTAGGAGTAGATTGTAGTTTTCTGTCTGTGACCTAGTTGTCCAACAGACCTTCAGAAATTAATGTTAAGAGTAGTAGTTTAAGAAATTTTAGGAGTCTGCGATTTTAATATCCAACAGATCTCACAGGGGTTTAGGTTTTGAAGGAGTTTTAGTTTAGGAAATTTTAGAGTCTGCGACTTAGATGTCCAACAGATCTCACCAGGGTTTAGTTAGAGTAGTTTGAATTTAGAGATTTTTTAGAGTCTGCGACTTTTTATGTTCGACAGATCTCAATAATGATGATGATAGTGGTTGAATTTTTTTGTAGTAAGCTTTGCATACTTTTATTTTAGAGCATTTTGCTTTAGGTTTTTAATAATTTTGGGTCTGTGACTAATTTAGTTCAACAGCTTTTGTTTTGAGACTTGTGACTTTTTGTCCAAGGACTCTATAGTTAGATGATGTTTTGGTATTTGGATAACTTTATTTGAAGTTATTTTCTTTTCACTTTGGGTTTTCGTTTTCATCCATAATTCAACGGATTTCGTTTTGGCTTTTAGTATTTGGACTTTAGCTGTAGTTTTTTCAGCCTCGATTCTCGATGCTTTATTCGGGGAAGGGTGAAATGTAACGTGTTAAAAACGTCACATGGATCTCCTTCGCTCGAAGAGCGAGATAGAAGATTTTTTTTGGTTGTCTCTCTGGTCGTTTTTTTATCTCGCGCCCATTTTCTTTAATCTGTGCACTTTTGGGTAAGTGTGTTTCTGCCTTTATCGAGCAGTAGGCTGAATGGACATTGTTCTCTTTGCCTACCGCCAAGACAAACTAAGAAAAGAACTGTCACTTCACTTCACGACGAAAACTTAGACACAAAAGATGGTCTAATGTTAATCTAAATTTTTATCATGATAATCCATTGGATTTTCAATTGTTTTTAATGGTAAGTGTTTTTCCAAATTCGAAAAGTGTTTTAATTCATATATTTCAATAATTTACATAAGGATTGTTTTTTTACAGACGTGATATTTCACACTGTTTGCGCGGAATGGAGCCGATCTTATTCCAAGCTTAATTTAATCGAAAAACGGTAAGAATCTTAGAGTTTTCCTTAGTTTTACTTATTTTCCTTTGTTGTGAGCCATGTGCTAATCTGAGGAATATTTATTTTCAGCTAAAAGCGTTTTTTTTATATATTTGAAATTTTATTTGGAAATCGAATTCAAATCACGATGTTTCCCGTGAGGTGGAGGTGAACCCACGGGACCTAAAAACGGCCATCCCCTACATACTTGTGAAACCAGACATAATTTAACTACAAAGATGCAACAAAGTCAGTAATATTCAAATTTATAATTGTGTTTCGGCCCCCATATAAAAGGTAACATTTTCACTTACAGTCTTAGTTTAGTCTTAGTTTCAAAATTTAGCAGTAATTCTTTCGGTCCAGTAGTTTTGTACTAAATTTTAATATATAGACAACCCAAAATGAGAATGGATTTGCATTAAACTCCTCTTGCGATTAAAAGTTCATTGCTTTCCCGGCTAATATGGTTTAATAATATGGTATGGGTCTGGCGCCCGAGTATTCTTTTTTTTCATTAATTTCGACCTATCTGTTTAGTAAATTTCTCTCAAACTTTTTATTTTTTAACTTTACAAGTTTCTATAGGCGAATGGCCCCCTGTCCAGTAGGCCTATTCGCTGCTTTTGGCAGATGAAAGTGATAATCACCAAGCTATTTAGTGATCCACAACTGCTTTATTATAACGCCACTGAGATATTTGTTCTGTAAAGCATTGATGGAAACGCAATTTTGTCTTTAGTTGTACACTGTAAATGTCAAAAAAGTTAGCGAATAGGCCAGTAGGACATTTTTAGAGAGAAATTAACTTTTCTACATTAAAGTCCGATTAGGGCAAGATACAGAGATGTACAGTAGGTACCATAGGACTTTAATGGAGTTTTTATACAAATTACTCAATATTGACTTCTCTGACTTAAAAAGTGTTTGATTTTAATGTCTGCTTAGCTAAATCAACTACATATCACATCTTCATGCCATAGCCAAGACAGGGTTGGCAGAAAGATTAAGATGTTTACTTTAGTATTAATAGCATTAATGTGTAATTTTCAACTTTACAGAAAGGGAATTTTACATTCAAACCTGGTGACACCATAGGTGTCATACCACAAAATGAGAAAGAGGATGTTGATATGATTCTAGAATGTTTGGATCTATCATCAAAGGCTGATTTACAGTACACTCTTGAAGCTCCCACTAACCAGAAAGGCTGTAAGATTCCACTACACATACCCGTAAAATCTACTATAAGCTATGTTTTGAAAAATAATTGTGACCTAAGGGCTGTGCCTAAAAAGGTGAGTCTTAAAGTACAGTTACGTTATAATTATTTTTTTACTTCATTACTTGTTTAGAGCACAGCTTCTTCCAGTATAAAACTTTATTCACCTTTCCAAATCGCAAGCTAATAAAGTTGCCTTGGCTTTTTAGAAAACAAAAGTGATAGATAGAAGAATAATTAGAAGTTTAGCTTTAGCCCACGTTTTGTATTATAAGGCAGAAAATATGTAATTTTATTTTATTTGTAAAAAGAATATTGTTTTGAAAAATATGCCAAACAAATATGTTGCCCGCCCAATGCCCACCGTAACCTTAACTTTGCAGATTACACTTTGTTGACATTTGCAATACCGGGGTATTGTGTGTAGTCTATCCTGAGCCTATCCTCTAACCAATAAAGTCTTAAAACCTCAATTATTGACAGAAACTCAACATCTTCTATAAGTTATTATTTAACCGTAGTCTTCTGTATAGTGGAGGGCCTTTCAATTTGAATAGAAAATCTGCTGTTTTCTCGCAATTGGTACATTATATTTTTCTTTTTGCAGCTCTTCCTTTTAGCTTTATCAAGACACACAAAAGATGAAGAAGAAAGAAAGACATTGGAATACCTTTGCAGTAAAGAAGGATCTGTAGCATACAATACACACATACTGGACCAACGTTACAGCTTGCTGGATTTGTTGTGCATATTCAAGAGCTGCAAGCCACCAATACAAGTTTTGTTCAGTCATTTGCCGAGATTACTGCCTAGACCTTACTCAATTGTGAACAGTAGCATTAAAAGTTCAAATGTAATTAAAATATGCTTCTCTGTGATGGACTTAAGGGACAAAAGAAAAGGTCTTGTCACAGGTTGGTTAGAAAAAGTAATAACAGAAGGAAAATTTTCAGTTGAAGATAAGATGCAGTCCCTTAGCCTTACTGACAGTTTGACTGTTCAGGTGCCCATTTATTTAAGGAAAAACATGTCAGGTTTTATACCCTCTGACAATTTAGAAACACCTTTGATATTGATAGCAGTAGGCACAGGTATTGCTCCGTTTATTGGTTTTCTAGAAGAAAGGCAGCGTTTGAAAGAAAATTGTCCAGAAGTGAATGCGGGCATAGTGTGGTTATTTTTTGGATGCAGGAATCCAAAGTTGGATTTTATTTATGAAAAAGAGTTAAACATGTTTCTAAATAACAAGACAATCAGTAAAATTAGTACATCCTTCTCTAGAATAGAAAATGCTGAAAGCAAATACATTCAGGTAATTTATTTTATTGTGTTTTATTATCGCATTTATTCTAACAAAGGCTAAGTAACAATGTCAGATAAATTGTATCTACTATAGTGTTCTAAATTCTATATTGGGTGTTTTAATTTCATTGCCATGTCTCATTGATATACACTTACTTCCGTTCTTCCAAAAAATGAATGATGAGTCCGATTTAAATATTTTTTTCACAGTATTTACTGTTTTTTTTGTCATTGTAATTCTGCATACCCCACAAAAAACATGACTGATCCTCATTAAGTGGGCCGTAATCGTGTTAACCATTGTTTTCATAAATTAAATGTATGTTTTATTTTTAGGATGCGCTGACGCAGAATGGTAAAGATCTAGTTGAACTAATTGAAACCGGAGCATCTATATACGTTTGTGGAGATCTAAACAATATGGCGGCGGAAGTTAAAGAAGCAATCCTGAGCTGCCTAGTGAAGCATGGTAACAGAACGCAAGAGGAATCTAAAATTTTCTTGGCTGATATGCAGACACAAAAGAAATATCTGGTAGATGTTTGGAGCTGAATAAAAGTTTATATCGCTGTTAGACGTTGTTTTATTTTAACAACCGAAGTTAATTAAATATGTCCGTAATACCCTTTTATCGCAGAAGTGGTGAGTTTGAAATAGGGGTACCACCTAACGATATTAAACACCCTAGATACACCATGAGCGCTTAAAATATTTTATTTAAGTACTTTCAATATTTAATATACCACCACCACGACTATATGACCCCCCCTGGCGCCAAAGCTGGCTATATGACCCCCCCTTGGCGCCAAAGCGAATGCCACAGAGCTTCATGAAAAAATGCGAAAACAATACTTATAGTACATAAAGTGTCGTTTTTGGACAGGTATCTAATCAATGTTTTTTAATTAAACGCATTTAAAGCAAATTTTGTTTTAATACTTACTATAAACTGATTTAATATCAATGTGGTTTTTGACCACACGATCATCTTACGGAGCTCCGTGGATCGTATAATATACCTTTTGGACACGTTTCGGCCACGATTTTGTTCCGTGTTGTTGTATCTACGGTATTTAATATCGTTGGTACCACCCAATCATTGGCACTTTTGAGTTTAGTTCGAAAAAACAAGGTAACCATCCATAGATTATTTAGGCTCTAAAAAAACATCTAGTATGGTTTAAAATTTGACAATTAGTAGTACCATACCGATAATCTATTGTTTCCCTTGTTTTTTAGAACTAAACTCAAAAATGACAATAATTGGGACCTAGAATGACACCACGCCTCCTAGACTATGATGCCCGACCAGCAATCAATATTATAAAAAACTTCAGGCCCCTAAATCTGGGTCGGGCCACTTATGATTTGCGGTGGGCGCATTGTCTGAACTTGCTTTTTTTTATCCCTGTTGTGTGACTTGAGAGGGCCACAGCCTTCCTTTAAACCGGACCTAATTTATAGCACCGCAGAATGGAGAGACACAGGAACGTAATTTTACAGCTTGTTCGCTGAAAATCTCGCGACTGTGCCTGTTTAATCTAGATCATATTTCGTTGAGGCTTGAGACCACCGCGATCGACCGACTAGTCGACTGCGTCTTTCCGCGGTTTCCACAGATTGCACTGACAATCGTAAGGAGATGACGCGGGACCATTTTTTGGTTCTTTATTTTACATATAAAATGTTATATTTTAGTAACTGCATAATATACAATTGACATGAAGTTCATTATGATATGCACAAATAGGCTTCCATTCTTAGATTTAAACAAAAAGGGAACATACGGCACTCGCGGCTCAAGTGATCCGCTTAAATTGTGGTGCATGACCACAATTCGCTTTATCACAATTGGACATTCAAACAGGCTGCATCTGCACTCAATATAACAATATTGCGTATATTCTGTATTATAAAGATAAAGCAATGCCTTCGATGCTTTTATAAGGAAAACATCAAATAGTTCAAAATCAATTAACAAAATATAAAAACATTCTTTTCTCAAAAATCACGGTTTGTCGTGAATGTTATTAACGTAATCGCCATTTTGTTATCAAGAAAAGGACAACAATACAGCTCAGGCGTCAAGGGCGGATCCAGGGGGGGGGGGGTCATGACCCCCCCCTGGGCTGGGTACAGATGGACCAAACCCAGGGGGATTTTATTTAAGTACTTTCAATATTTAATATACCACGGCTATATGACCCCCCCCTGGCGCCAAAGCTGGATCCGCCCTTGTCAGCCGTACGGACTCGCAGACTTGCCGTTCGCTAGCGCTGCGTTGAAGAGTATAGTTCTGTCTCGCTCGCTCGATTTATTGTTTATATTCAGACGTGTGCGGGTGAGAGTTGCTTATTATGTAGTTGAGTCGGATCATATTTTATTTGATGCTAGTACCTACGAGCGTACCATATTTTCCCTTTTGTTTTAATCTTAGATTCCATTCCATTCCGCGACGGTATAAATTAAGACAATGAGCAAAGAATTCTGAATCTCGAGAAACACGTCATAACTGACGTAATAAACGACGACACAATATAGTATAACACCGAGGTACAACAGACCTGTCTTTGATAAGGAACAAAGGATAATTTCAAGTTTACGTGGCCATGCCAGAAAAACCAAGGGCGGATCCAGGGGGGGGGGGTCATGGGGGTCATGACCCCCCCCCCCCCCTGGGCTGGCTACAGATGGACGAAACCCAGGGGGATTTTATTTAAGTACTTTCAATATTTAATATACCACGACTATATGACCCCTCCCCTGGAGCCAAGGCTGGCTATATGACCCCGCCCCTGGCGCCAAAGCTGGATCTGCCCTTGAGAAAAACGTTGTTATGGTAGGTATTGCACATATTAGAAAATCAAAACCCTTTTTAAAGTTTACAAAAATAATTTAATAGGCAAATCTCTAGTTATAAAATGTTCAAAAAGTGTCATTGGTGTATATAAACTTAAGAACTAGCTAGACGCAGCAATGTATAATTATAGTCGCACAAAGTTCGTTGTGTGTCATTCACAGGCTAAACTTAATAATAATAAATTTAACCAATCTTATACATCTATACCTTACTATAGTTTACATACTAGGCACTCACGGTTTAAAAAAATGCCCAATTATTATTTGTATAGTCTGAAACAGAAATGCTTAATTTATTATGCCTTTGACATTTTATAATCAAAAGCTCAATTTAAAACTGGAATTAAACTTACACGTAACACTGAAAATAATACAAATCGATGCAGTATTAATACTAATTAAATCATACTTCTAAAATTGTACCTGTACAATAAAAATAGGTGTCGAATATGTTAAGGGTTACACGATTGTGCGTGCATTCCATAAAATTAAACTTTATTGCATGGTACTAAGAGCGTACTTGTGAGTAATATGTAGTCAGCCACACATCGTTACCACAACATGTAAAATTATCTCAAACGATTATTAACCGTAAATTATTCAATATAAAGGTCGAAATGTAGCAATAGCGGTTGGACAAAATTTTAGTTTTGGGTAACTTGATTTGTGGCGTCTGTACCTAAATTAATTAATAAGAATTCTAAAATGTAAATATTTTGTAAAGTTTTAGTGGGTAGGTAAATAAGTCTTATATACATAGTACAAAGATTGCAGTGTGAATTTAGCTATACAGAAGGCAAATGAACACAACTAAATTCGCATTGGCTTCAAGGCAGAGTTGAAACAAAGGATTCGAGTCCACGGAGGGCACTAATTAAAGATAATTGCAAGAAGTAACTGCTGGCCCGACGACGTGCTACGTTGATATGACCTCTAACGTAATGATGCCACGTGATATATAGATATACAGCATTGCAACCTGAACGTTAAATTCCTAATAATTCTAATATAAACGGACTAGCATATACTATTTGTTTTCTTGTAAAGATTTCATTCCGACGGTTTGTTTATAACAGTTGTACGCACCTAGGGTTACCATTTAGGAATTACAAAAGTCCTGACAAATCCTGACATTTCGAAAAAAAGTCTGGACGTTTTAGTCACAAAATAAAACCATTATTCACATAATTACAATGGTATGGTATTTAAATATATATCATATAGACTATATGTCCTTTTATTATTCATATTCAATGTAATTTAAAAAAAACCATACAATTTAAAGATTCGGTCAAAGTACGGACTACAGTCTAAAATTCCGGACATGTCAGGACTAATCCGGACGCATGGTAACCCTACACGAACCTAAATATAGAAAGATATTTGTACATTGTATGCATTGAATTACTTACGAATACATAGATATGGCCTCATTGATTTGGTTTCACTGGCGGTGCAATGCAATCTTAAAACTATGAACTATTCGTCTAACGCAGATGACCTTTTTAATTCAAAGTCCTAACAGGAAGTAAGATCTCTGTTAATACAGATAAATATAGAATACGTTTTAACATGACTCACATCGTGTGAGTTACATGGTTATTCAATAAAGCATAGATGATGCCGGCACTTTGCTTGGTTATTCGAGTTTGCAAACTTGACCTCAGTCTGTCCTATTCAATCCTTATAAGGCATGATAAGGATAGACTGTTGTCAAGTTTACGAATAGCCAAGTGAAGTGACGGCATGGGGTTTATGAATAAGATTCATTGACAGCAACAGTTACATTTCAATTAGAAAGTAATGACCTTAGTCAACATCAATAAAAATTCTCATTTTAATGCTGGCACTTCACGATAACCAAGGAATACAATAACAAGTTACTTTGACTAAAATTAAATTTGATGGACGTCTCTGTGTACAGTGATCGATACTTACTTGTTTTGAAAAACAAATCAGCTATCTGCATTAAACATTTGGCCAAAAATCATAATGAAAAAATATTATCCAACTCCAATATTTAAAATATCGGTTAAATACATTTTCGGTTTTACAACATATTATTATTTGCAATTAAAATAAGGAATATTATTGCCTGGTTCCATTGTGTATATATTAATACAATAAGTAAACACAGTCTTACATTTGATTGTAAAAACCTAAAAAAATTGTTACCAAAGTAATGAATACCTATTTTTTTAAGTCAAGGGGAATGTGATAATTTATAGAGAATCAAAATTAGGTTGAGTAGAATGTTTCAGGGCCCATAGACAAGTAGTTTTGTAAGAAACAATTCAAATGGAGAAGAGAAAAAAAATTGCTTCCGAAATCGGAATTGTGGAATGCCGATATGCAGTGGTGGCGCTAGACCACATGTGGACGTCGGCGACATCAAGTTCGCGAGGCCTATTTTACTTCGCAGAAAAAAAACCGTTAAATTAAGTGAGCCTAATTATAAAATAACGTATGAATAAACGAGTTTTATTGTTGATTCATAGAGTTGCCAGACAGACGATTCTGAATACCCGTAAAGTACTACTCGCTTCCATCACGCACGTGTTCGAAATTAATAAAAGTCATTATCATCTGCTTAGCTTTTCGGGGTCGGCTACCTAAGGCAGGCCCGGAGAAACGAAAATAAATAGATAACTTGTAAATTTTTCTTGCGAGGCCCCCTCAGGCGCGAGGCCGTCGGCGGGGGCCGACGTCGCCGACGCGACGCCTAGCGCCGCCACTGCCGATATGAATATTGATTACAATATTCTGCATGCATGCTATTTGCTTTATACAAAACCATTTGTCCCAGGGAAAAGATAAGATAAATAAATAAGTTGTCAATTTAAAATTAACTCAAGTTTTAACATAGGCTATTCTGGCGTGGAATTGTTTAACATAAATACACTTCTGGACACATGTATCGGCCCACCTGGCCCTAGCCAAAAATAATGTTACATTGTACAAAAAGTTTTGAAGCTGATTAATTAATTACCTTTTTCATATGTTAAGTTAGGTTAGCGCGTTCGGATGCGATCGTTGAAGTTAGCAACTTTCGCAGTGGTCCGTCATTGGATGAGTGACCAAAAAATTTACTATCTCCAGCTCATCCGTGCTTCGGCATGTTAACCCGTTAGTCCCTGCTGCATCTGCAATCGTTAGCACCCACCAATCCGCACTGGGCCCGCGTGGTGGGTCATGGCCCAAACTCCCTATTCCATCCATAGGGAAAGCCTGTACCCCAGCAGCAGTGGGGACATTAATAGGTTGATGATTATTGCTCAACCTAACATTATATTTTTTTGCTATAGCCCCTTGAAAGTTATAACATTTTGTGGGCTGATAGATAATTATGTCCGGATGTGTGAATACAGCTCAAGAACAACATTATTGTACTGCTGACATTAATAACTATGTGATATTATTTTCTCGCGCCAGAATTGAGACCGGACTAGTTCAATAATTTATATACATTTTTGGCAAAATACTTAGTATGACTTTGATATATAATAATATTAAACTAATGCATTGAATCTTATTTTTTTTTTTCATTTATAAACATAAATTTTATCATTTTTCAATTAATATATATAACGTAACATAAATGCAACAACAATTTAAAGTACGATTACTTGTTACAACTAATTCCTTCATGGACAGATTTAATTAAGTAACCGAAACAATTTTTACAATTACCTTTTGTTTAATACAATATTTATAGTTTTACATGATAATTAAACATATTTCACTTCATAAAAGTCACAGTGTGATGTCCAAAATCATTCTGTATCAGTAGCAGATATGATATCTGAGCGAGCATTGTGATAAGACGGAAGCTATACACACTATGCCAATTCTTGAATAAATATCTCCCGATTTTATTTCAATCGATTACATATAATAAGCTTATCAGTAAGCATCTTACTCTAAATAAAGCGTTATTTTTTATAACTTACCTTGCCAAACATGCCTGCTTTTATTTCTTAACTAATCCGTAAGGTTCATATCCCAATATTTTTTATAGTCGACCTTTAAACAATATCTGTAAAACCACTCTTAAATGATATCCATAATATTGGCACCTCTTCTAGTCTCATACAAAATCTCATGAAAATAGCTATAAAAAAGAAAAGACATGTAAAAATGGGAATGGAAGAGTTATAAATCGTAATACTCTCAGTCGAAATTTTTGTGGAGAATTTTTTGGGCAGCCTTGATCAATGGAGTAAGAGTTCTCAGTTCCATGGCGCACTCGAGGAAGGGATGGGCCAACAGTTCGTCCGCTGTCGCTCTCAAGTCGACGTCCACTTGAAGACATTTGTCGAGGAAGTCTTGGAATTGGGGTGACAGTGACTCCCATCGCGGTATTTTAGGACGACCGACTGCTGCAATCAAGTACAAAGCCCTTAAAGGCGTTTCTTTCATGTATGGAGGTTCTCCTTCAATCATTTCTATCGCCATTATGCCCAGTGACCACACGTCAACTTTTTTACCATACTGCTTCCTCGTGACTACTTCAGGTGCCATCCAGTATGGCGTCCCGACCATTGTCTGCCTTTTCTCGTCACCAACTATGTTTGCACAAAAGCCGAAATCGGTAACTTTCACTGTGCCGTCCATACCAAGTAAGACATTGTCAGATTTGATGTCCCTATGTATTGTGCCTTTAGAGTGCAAGAAGGCAACAGCCTGCAACGTCTCACGGCAAACTGCAGCAATTTGGCCTTCCTTCATCACTACCTCGGTCACCACGTCGGTTAAGGATCCACCATCAAGCAACTCCATGGCAACCCATAAGTGGTCATAGCTAAGGAATGCATCCAGGAAATTCACCAGATTCTTATGGTTGAAACCTTTCAACACATTGATTTCATTTAGAATGAGATCTTTCTTTGACTGTTTTGTCAAATCAATATCTTTGATGGCAACTCTGGAATTGTCCTTGTTGTCTATGGCGATGAATACAACACCTGAAAAAGAGGAATATTTAGGGTAAATTAATATTTTTTCTTATTTTATATTTCCATGGATTCATTAAAATGTTTCAATAAATAGGTATGTTTGTATGATGCTCGCACTTCACTTGGCTTTTTGTATTTGCTATTTGTAAACATGACAACATATGTCTTCTTCAGGTTTTATTTATTGTCTTTATATTGTCTTCTTTAGGAATGAAAAGGACACACCATTGTCGAGTTTACAAATAGCAAACACAAATAGCCATATGAAGTGCCGGCATGAGATGTTAGCCTACAAAAGTAATTTTTATTTGATAAGTACTCTATTTTCTAGTTTATTTCGCAACTTGTAAACAATTTTGATGTCTATGATTAACACTGTTAAAAAAAACTGTGAAACAATCAATATTTTAATAGTAAGAATTAATTTCTGAAGACAAAAAGAAAAAGTGCACTACATATTCACACACAGACAATACAACATGTACTAGAAATTGTGTTTCATGAAAAAACTATTTCATATGGATTTCCTTGTACAGCATTTTACATTTTTTCTTCTGCATAATAAGAAGCTATATTACTAGTTGTAAGTTAAAATTGAAAAATTCTAGATAAAAAAAACGTAGGTATGTAAACATACTTACAATATCTTGAGTAGAAATAATATATACAGGATAGGAAGTGTGTATATTTTAATCAATATCCAAACAAGCATTGGTGTTGATTCTGGCATAATTTTCTAAACCTAAAATTATATTAACAACAGTTACTTCCTTGTCAATCTCTACACAGAATGATATGGAGAGACTGATATTAAATTTAGAGAATCATGCCAGAATGAACACCATTAAGTTGTTCCACATGACTTAATAGAGCAGAAATTAATTATTGAGATAATGTGTAAATATTTTTCTATTCATTTTGGCTACATGCATTTCTATCTATTGATTTTTGCAATGATTTTGTTTTAACATAAATTTTAGACCTTGACTGACTATAATGACTTTGTATAGAAATTAAATAAGAGTTGATCACATTAGGGTTGAGGTTATAGAATGGTTACACAGATATTATATCATTTTGGACATATTGTCAGTAAAAGAAAAATTGGTAATATATTTCATAGAGTAAATAAATTATAGTTTTTTAAGTTTTTGGAACCGAACCGTTTACAAACTACAGAAAAAAATATCTGTGAAAATTTACATATATATATTTTAATGAATAAAAGTATTTACTGTTGCATATATCCTCAATTGATTAGTAGACTGATAGTATTTCTGTTTAGTGCTTTAATTATTATATGTTTAGACTAAAAGCATCTATAATTTGACACATGGATACAGAAATATGCTGCTAATAGCTATGATAAACCTAAGCTCAATCACAAAAATAAAGCAAATAAATATTATAATATATAGTATTTTTTAGATCCAATACACACAAAGCATAAAGTTTAGTACTAATGTAGTATATTAATATATGAAAATAGGAAGTAGCTGAATTATATAGCTTGGAATGTATGCTATTAGTGGTTGTAATTGTCAGTTTGTGTATATTATAAATTATATTCAATATTACCTGAAGCACCAGCACCGAGTTGTTTGATCCTATCAAATCTCACATAAGGGTCATCCTTATTGCAAATTCTTCTTAATTCCTCATAAATTTCTTCATCAGTCAACGTGGCATTAAACATTTCTTTCTTCCTTAATATTGGGCTCTCATCACCATCTTCTCCGATGAGAGTCAAATCTTCCACTACTGCAGAAAGATCCATCACAGCATCCTTTTTCTTAAGATTATTTTTCATTGGCACTGCTGGCATAGTCTGTCTTTGAGCATAGACATCTGTCACTGTACCAATTTCTTCTTCACTACTTTGACCAATTGATAAGTCGGAGTCTTGACTTTGATGAGCATTTTTATGGTCTAGCAGCTTCTCTATCTCCAAGTCTTCCTTGTTGATCTCTTCTTGAGTAACTATTGGTTTGAAAGGTTCATCTTGGGCCTTTTCTTTCTTGATGATGTACATGTGAAGTTTGACAGCTTGGATGGCGGCGTCCAGGTTCTCATTTTGTTCGGCGGGCGTGATCTGTGCATTGAGTAATCTCTGCCAGGAAGCTGGCAAACCCTCCAACATACCTGTCTCTGTATTCTTACTAACATGTATGTGCTGTTTAACATTCGTAGGCATCCCGATTTCTGTGACTCTTTCATCTTTGTACTGATCTTTTTTCTTGGAGAAGAGTTTCCCAAACACTCCACGACCCGATCGACCACTCATTGTGTTGATTTACCTGTGATCTTAATTGACCAGTTAAGCCATTTCACACAATCACTTAGCCAAATTATTCTACATATCTCGTACAAAACTTGTAAATAGTCGCGGAATTCAGTTTTAAATCAAGATAGGAGTGGCCTAGTAAAGAGTTTCTAATCGGGACGGAGCACCAGGGGACGGGGAGACGACACTTTTTTATCATCTGTCAAAATCCAATTTCAATAATCGAATAAAAAAAATGAAACGTTCCTTTCTAAGAAAAAATAAATATCATTATTAATATTGTTATTACACCCCGTTCTTACTATGTAATATTTTACATACGTTTAAGCACAAAAAACTGTTTATAAATTTCTAGATTTACTATATTCAGTTTAATTACGTAAAATAGCTTCTAACTCAAGTTTACTAGTTAGAGCAGTAAGCATATCAGGAACGTAAAGTTCTTTTGTGAATGTTGGTAGTTTGTCTATAGGTTTTTTCGGATGAATCATCCTTTCGCGCAATCCATATGAAATGGGTGTCTGTCATGCCAGCGTACACCACAGCGAGTTCGAGGTTGTTACTTACGCTAATAAATAGTTTCTAATTAGTGCAATAATAATAAAAAAAAATGGGTGCGTGTACTTATGTAGGCGCGTGAGAAGTTATCCTTCTTTGGCATCGTTTAAAATTAGTTTTTAATTGCATGCAAATAATTAATTACAATAAATTAATAAAAAGTCTGGAAAAGGACACAGTCAATAAAGTTCAGTTTTAATTTGAAAAAATAAATAAATAATCAAAATATTCAATTAAAATCGCTACTGAATATAATTTATTAGAACATATGTGATTTGCACTTGTATGAAACTCAAACACGTATTCCGAATATACAAACTAGAAACATGTGGATAAATATTATAAATATGAATACCTATAACTGTTACTTTATTACAAAAAATAAAGATGTGGTTTTTGGTTCTACTACACCAATGGTCAACAGATGGCGCTGTAGTCTCCTGAATCGCGCTTTGGTTCCGTTGTTCCAGATTAATAAATACTTTTGATATTCCTTCACAATGCAGTCGTTAGCACCCACTAAATAGAGATTCTATTTCTATTTTGTTGGTAGATTTTCTTAATGTGCGGTAAATACAAAAGTCGCTTTAGCGACTAACTTCATGCTGTTAAAATTTTGTGTTACAGTGATGCGCGCGCATCTTAAAATTTCACTCTCATCAATTTTTCATAACGCGCCTAAAGAAGTATAACTTCAAAAACTTCCTCTTTAGTTTAGGAAATAAAAACTGTTTTCATGGTGTACCGAGTGGTTTGTACGCTGGGTTTCATGGCGGTCCCGGGTTCGAACCCGGTGGAGGCAAATGTTTGTGTGATGAATACGAGCATTTGTACTCCAGTCATGGGTGTTTAATATGTATTTCTATATAAATATACTTATTTAAGTACAGTATGTGTATTCTATCCGTTACCCTAGTATCCCTTATCACAAGCTTATCAGTAAGGGCACACGTAACCGCTGGTTCAATCCCGACTGTGCTGATGCTGTTTCTCGTAAGCAGGCGGCATATCGTGCTTGGACCAGAGGCCGCGCTCGTAAAGATCTCGGGCTTGACTCACTGAAAGCTGCCTATAATAGTGCTTCCAAGTCTTGCAAAAAGGCTTACATCAGAGCGGATTCCGAACGTGTAGCACGTACTGGCCACGAATTGTTAACGCACCCTACGGGCTTCCGTAGTTTTTGGCGTTTGGCTAAGGCCGTGCAACACAACTTCTGCCAGCCCTCACTGCCACCTCTGCGATGTCCAGATGGGTCACTAGCTCATGAGCCGCAAGAGAAAGCCGATTTGTTGGCAAAACTCTTTGCGGCTAACTCCCGAATCAGTGATTGCAATGCACTGCCACCTACACTTCCTCATTGTGGCACTACGATGCCTGACATAAAAATCAGGCAGCGTGATGTTCGTGCGGAGTTGCAATCACTCGACGTTCGGAAAGCTACTGGACCCGATGGCATTCCAGCAGTTGTGCTAAAACATTGTGCAGTGGAGTTGTCTCCCGTGCTTACGCGCCTGTACCAACTCTCTTACTCTTTGGGCCGTGTGCCGGAGACGTGGAGATATGCCAATGTGAAACCGGTGCCCAAAAAAGGGGACCGCTCAGACCCGGCTAACTATCGACCGATAGCTGTCACTTCAGTGTTGTGTAAAGTCTTAGAAAGGGTCCTTAACAACCATCTGACCCGCTACCTAGAAGATTACTCTCTGATTCACGATCATCAATACGGATTTAGGCCGAATCGATCGACGGGTGACCTTCTAGCGAACGTGACACACATCTGGGGTGAAGCTATAGACAAGCGGGGAGAGTCTCTGGCTATTAGCCTTGACATCGCCAAGGCTTTTGACAGGGTCTGGCACAAAAGCCTTCTCTCCAAGCTTCCTGCATACGGCCTGCCTGCTCAGCTCCGCGCCTGGGTAGCTAACTTCCTGCGTGAACGTAGAATTCGCATCCTTACAGACGGATATAGTTCGCAGTTCATATCAGTGAATGCCGGTGTTCCTCAGGGCTCCGTTCTATCCCCTACACTGCTGCATATCAATGATTTGATTCCACTTGCGAATATTCATTGCTATGCAGACGATAGTACAGTGCATGCGAGATACTTTGGACATGCAGCGGCTGGGCAGGTAGAAACCAAGGAGAAACGGGAGAATCTTGTCGCTGAACTCAATCAGGCTTTGGACCACATTTCCCATCCATCCATCCATTGGGGTACCAGCAACTTCGTTGAGTTAAATGCCAAGAAAATTCAGGCCTGCGCTTTCACGGCAAAAACATCGCCATTCCTTCCCCTTCCCTCTCTTCAGGGCACAACACTGGCGCTACAGAGCAACTTACCACGCTCGGTATGGAAATTCGCTCAGACCTGAATCCAAAGGACTACATCGAAACCGTGATCAAAACAGCTTCACGCAAACTCGGAGTCCTGAACAAGGTGCGGCGTTTTTTCACGCCCGATCAACTGTGCTTGTTGTACAGAACGCAAGTGCGGTCCTGCGTGGAATATTGTTCGCACCTCTGGGATGGCTCCGCTAAGTACTTACTGGATGCCTTGGATAGGTTGCAGCGGCGCGCTGTCCGCATCATTGGCGTTGAAGAGGTAACCAAGAAACTCGAGTCTCTACAATTACGCCGCGATGTGGCATCATTAAGCGCATTCTACCGACTATACCACGGCGAGTGTTCTGAGGAGTTATGAGAGGCGTGAAGAAGCAATTTTGCAGGCCGGCAAGGTGAGGATGATTGGTGTACCAGTTTATAACTGCTGAACCAGCTATCTTCGCGTTTTGGATTTTATTACCACTTAACATCAGGTGGGGTAGAGTCATTTGCCTACCTCTATATATAAAAAAAGCCTTACAGTGCTTACTTTGGGGCTAGGCTAATTGGTGTTAGTGTAAGAAATATTATTATTTATTATAGTGCCTACATTATGCAAAATTTTATAATCATAACTCATAAAGGAACAAAGATATACTCGTATAACAAGACTTATAAATAACATTTGGAGCTGGCGTCATAGTACCCTAAATAGTGTATAGAAGAAAGTGAACTTTTCTTTTTACATAATGATACATGAATAAATAGTGCGTGAAATTCTGCGTCTGTTAGCATAAAAAAATCAAAATCAAAAATCATTTATTCAGTCTAGGTTGATACAAGCACTTGTGAATGTCAGGAAGCTAAGCCATCGGTTCGCAAAACTATATACGGCGGGAGACCTTATACTGGGAAGAACCGGCAAGAAACTCAGCAAGGGCTGTTTTTTCTCCTTGTATTGTTATAGTATACAGAGTCGTCAAGTTGAAAAATGACTTCAGAGATACTTCTGAAGTCACCTTCCTTTACATCATTTAGAATGTAGATATAAAGTTACAATAAATTTTATAGTTAACTTTATATTTAGTATATAGTAAGCGGCATTACATAGGTACCATATTACGCAATACGATCATTTAGATAATCATCAACTTTATAATAATCCTTATTCATAAGAGTATTCTTGATCTGAGATTTAAATTTGGTCAGTGGAAGCTCAATCAGATCTTGGGGAACTTTATTAAACAATGCAATACTACAAACCCAGAAATGAACCTCCTGATTTTTGAAGTCAGAAACATGGAGCGGCAAGCAGGTTCTTAAATCTCGTGTTAAAGTTATGGGTTTGACTTTTTTTGAAAATGCGTAATAGTTTTTTCTTACATAAGTATACATATTATGTTTTCATCTCACACGTGGAGTGATATGTAAATAGAAATAAGTATTTTGAATATGTTTTGCCTCCTTTTATGGGTGCCGTACCCAAAAGGTCACAAACGGAACCCTATTAATATGGATCTGTATGAAAGTCGGGGTTCGGCGACTTAGCGCAAACGCTCCTTACACCGCCATGGGTACCGAGGGCTAGGCTTCAGAACGGGGCTCGTCAACGCTCTTGGGAAACCATTGCCGGCACTATATTGCACATAGAAGTCCACAGGTCTAAAGGTCCACGATATCTTCCAGAGATAAGTCTCACTTGTTGTAACGGAAAAATATAGAGAGCTGATTGATAGCTGCTTACACGTCGGGGACTCGAAGTAAACTGCTTGCTCATTAGTGCTGGCGTCGGCCGTAAAGTCGTACACCAACACACAAGGCACAGTGGTAGGCTCAGAACGAGAATACGGTTTGTCACCTACGCCATACATAAATTAAGAAAGAAAAAAAAATACAGTCTTCCAATATGTGTTGTCTTATGGCAAACTCTTTTTTTGTTTAGGTGTACAGTAGGACTTACCACTGATCAATTTATTCTCCAGACATGCCAACTCTATCATTCGTGTTAATTTACCTTTGCACATGCACACTTTATCTTGACTGTTTGTCTAAATGCATGCGCCTGTACAATATCACCTGGCGGTTAAACTGTCTCTCAACATCATGCACTATTTTATACCTATTCGTAGCGTGGATAGAGCTCAATATCGTTTGCATCAATTCACTAATCACGCACGGCCAAAAGAAAGCAAAGAGCATGTGTTATTCAATGTTTATTATTTCTCCACTGAAACTTTCTTCCGTAAAGTGTTATCTTTAACGCTATATCATAATTAGACTTTATTTGTATGGAAATAAAATCGCCT